ATCCTTACTCTCCTATATTGATCCTCCCATTGGATTTAAACTGTAATTGAATCACAATTCTCCTCTTCCTTTTTTCTTTTCTGTCATTTTTGTTTAGAGAACTTCTCAGTTCTGAGTCTCTGTAAAAGAGAGTGTTTTGCCTTGAAAAAATAATGGGGAGCATTGTTCCACTGTTCTTGCTTTCTAGTTTCTTCATGTAAAAGCTTCTATTGAGCAATGGCATGATAATCTTTTCCTTTTCATTTTTCTGGTTTATGATTTGAATTTGTGGGTGACTGAGTGAATTAACAAGTTTATGTGGAGAGAAATTAACCAGATGAAGATGATGAAAATTTTATACAATATTTTATGTTTCTATCTATAAAAACTACATGTTAAAAATATATTATATATAATAAAATAATATAATCTTTTATCAATTTAAAAAATTTAAGATAATCAATCACTTTGCTTTTTAAAATTTTAATAAAACTTCAAAATTTTCTGTTTTGAAAATTCTAAAAGTTCACATTTTTATTAACATAATACAATATTTATAATTTTACTAAACTACCCAAATAAATAAAATATATAAAGCCAAATGGGTATTAGTTCCTTTCTATTATATATCTATATATATATATATAATATATACAATTACCAACATTTTCATTATAAAAGTTTCCACTTTAAACATCATTTCTTTCTTCTCTATCTGTTTGAATTTTTGTGTGATCCAAATATGTATATATATATATATATATATATAAAAGATATGTATACAATTATCAGCATTTTTATATAAAATTTTCCACTTTAAACATCATTCTTATCTTCTAGATCTGTTTGAATTTTTTTTTGGGAGACAAAATTCATCATTTTTAACTAATTTATATATTGGAGATAAAAGAAAGATAGTAGTGACCTCAGAAAACCATCTTCATAATTTCCTTGCTTTATATTCAACAAATTATATCTCTCCATTTGTATTGCCATACAACTTTTTCTTGAAGTTAAGACTAAATGATACATGTAATATGTATGTATATATATATATATATATATATATATGCAATGTTCTTAAAAATTAATATGTATGGTGCAATCTCTAAATTTCCCACTATACCATTTGAAAATATTAAAATAAATTAAAATTTCATTTTTTTTAATAATTTAATTTTATTATAACTTTAATTTTATAACTTTTTTTTTAATAATTTAGTCCATATTTTTTTTCTATCATTTTACATATATAAATAATTTGTTATCTTATATTTGTTTAGATTTTATATAAATTAACTTTTTCAATTCCTCTGGTCCCTTCTACTTTTATTTGGGTGTGTGAATATATATATATATGTGTGTGTGTGTGTGTGTATATATATATATATTTAAAAATGTGCCCATGTAAACAAATATATATAT